TGCTAATTCCAGAGCCCATGTGGGTATTTGTTTGTGTTCTTTTTTTCTTTCCTGCTTCCTCCCTTCCTTTTTACTTTTACATAGGTTTGAGCTCTCTATGTGGTCCAGGCTATAGGCTTGAGCTCTCTTAAACTCTGGGTGCCACAACGTCCAGCTCCAAGGCCTGAGCATTCTACATTCACTGTTAACTACAACACCAAGGTCAATAGCTTAAAAAACAAAACAAAACAAAACAAAAAAACCAATAAAGCCTTTTCTAGTGATCTAAAATCTAAACTCCCTTTTCTAGCAAAGTTAATGGTTCTCAATCCTACAGAAATCTAGCCTTTCAGTGAAATGTGTCCTTCTAACTTTTTCTCCCTTCAAAAAGCCTCTTAGTCCTTAGAGGAAAACTTAGTCCTTACCAGAGGCGTTGTAGCCTGCACATCCATATAGAGAGGTCGTAGCACTGCTTCTGAGGGAACAGCCGAAAGAAGAGCATTATCTACAACGGACAGAGTGGAGGGGCAAAATGAGAAACGATGCAACCGTGGATACAAGGTACACAAGACAAAAGATAGTCAAAGTTGCTTCGAGGTGAATTAAGGAAGGTTGAGGTCGATTGTCAAAGGAAAAGAAAACAACGCGTGGTAAAAGACATAGGAAAGTAATAGACTCAGGATTCCAGAAGGGACGCTGGCGGCAATAGGGAGCAATCTTCAAACTCTGCTGCGGAGTTGGATGCGCTCTAAATAACAAAAACATAAGTGAAAAGCACAGGTTCCTTAATAGGTTCAAGGCGGGAGGAGCCTCGACTAACATCTTTACCAGTTGGCCGGGAGAGATCTGAAAGATGAGACCCCGGCTCAGACATGGCAGGATGTAAGGGCCGTACCGAGAAAATATGAGAGCAAGCAACAGGAAGGTTTAGAGTCTGGGACTTGGAACCCGGCGGGCAAGCTCCGCACCAATACAGTGCGTAGCAGCAACAACGCAACCGGTTCGGACAACCAGGGAGAACCGGCCCTAAACTGAAGGGGGGGCGTACCGCGCAGGCGCAATCCCCGGGTGGGCGCCGTGAACCTAGGCCGGGCCGCAGCGGTAGCCCGAGCCGCCCGCCTCCAAGTGGTTCGCAGCATGCTGGCAGCAGTAGAGCCCACCATCCACAGCGCTTCAAGTCCTCAGCCCATGCTCCCGGAAGTAACTGCCCTGCGCTCCGGAAGCGATCGGACGGGCGACGAGCGCCCTCCGCCTAGCTTTCGGTGTGAGACGTAGAGCCTAGCGAACGCGGCGGCGAACGAGGTGAGGTGGGGCCGGAGCGACCCGGCGTCGCGCGTACGGGATCCGGGACCGTGAGGACGGGGGTGGGAGCGTGCGTGCGACGGTCTGGCTTCGGGCCTGGGTCCTGCGGAGCCCTTCCGTGAGCCGCTGGGTGACGCCGCAATTGGCGGCCGGGCCCTCACTATCCTAACTCTCTCACCCAGATGCCGGTGGCCGTGGGTCCCTACGGGCAGTCCCAGCCCAGCTGCTTCGACCGTGTGAAGATGGGCTTTGTCATGGGTTGCGCCGTGGGCATGGCGGCCGGGGCGCTGTTCGGCACCTTCTCCTGTCTAAGGTGAGCGTCGCGGGCGACTTCCTGGATCCCTCGGACGGGAGAGGACACTTGGTTGTGGTTGGAAGCACAGTGCTTGGGGATCTGAGCTCTAGAGTCAGAATGGCTTTCTGACCCCTTTGTAGTTCAGTCACCTTAAGCAAGTTAGAGGCAGAGTTTCCTCAACTCTAGTCGAGGACAGTACTTTAGCTGTACTTTTGAAAAAATTAGTCATATTCGTATACTTTACATATAATCTGGCACATCGTCAATGGTTATTATTGTTGCATGGCATTTTAACTTCCAACTGCGTGTTGAGCCGCTCTATTATCCTCAGAATAAGGTGTAGAGATAAAGCCGATAAACTAACTTCTGTAGTCCAGTGTTCTACCTCTGAAATAATACTGTAATTCTAAAGGCCATCTCCACATTGGGATAATGTACATATATATCTTGCTATTTATTCAGTACTAGTTAAATGTCTTGCTAAATAGTGTAGTTACAAAGTTTATAAATGTAATGATGTCTGCTTTACGATTTACACAGCTATTACTGTTCCTCCATGGGGGAAGAGTAACATTTTAAGAATGACAAACCAGGCATACACATTTAATCCAGTCTGGAGGCGGAGGATCTGTGAGTTCGAGGCCAGCCTGGTGTACAGATGTGCCAGGACAGGCTCCAAAGTTACAGAGCCCTGTCTCAAAAAATGAAACATGCTGGGCGGTGGTGGCACACCACCCAGCACTCGGTAGGCAGAGGCAGGCGGATCTCTGTGAGTTCGAGACCAGACTGGTCTACAAGAGCTAGTTCCAGTACAGGCTCCAAAGCTACAGAGAAACCCTGTCTCGAAAAAGAAAAACAAACAAACAAAGACAAATAAGGTAAAGGGATTTTCGCTTTTAATGCTTGACCTACTTCAACACATTATAGAGGAAGTTAATTCAAATCTTGTCTGCATTTTTATTACTACATGACCCCTTCTTGTTTGCCTCTTCAGGATCGGAATGCGGGGTCGGGAACTAATGGGCGGCATTGGGAAAACCATGATGCAGAGTGGCGGCACCTTTGGTACATTCATGGCCATCGGAATGGGCATACGATGCTAATCAGGGCAGTGATTGCCTGCTACATCTATACTTTCCCATCTATTTCGACCCTTGTACAATAAAAGCTTTTTTCTTCTCAGTCTCAGCCTATTTTTACTTCAGACATAGCATTTCAAAGCATAAAATCAAGGGCTTAAGAGATTATTGAGGTCAGTGTCCACATGGTTACTAAACTTGAGTTCCCTGGGATCATCTGGACTCTTAAGGCACACATGGTGTACGTGGAATACATCCAAGTGCATCACTAATAATTAAATGTCTAGCCAGATTCGTTGGCATACAAATTTAATGCCAGTACTCTGTAGATGGGAGCAGCCATTGCTAGATAGACTGCTTAAAAAAATGTTTAACTATCTGAGCTAATGAGATGTTTCCCAACTGGATAGTGATGGTGCATATTTTTAATGACGACACTTGGTAGGCAGCAGAGGAAGGTGATCTTTGTGAGTTAAGAGGCCAGCTTCCAGGATAGGCTCTAAAGCTACATGGAAACTCTTGAGATGCAAATATTCTCAGAAATACTGGCTCAGCATATTGAATATAAACATTAAGCCCTTGATGGTAGACAGAAGTATACAGTTTGAACAAGGACATACACAGCAAAATGACCTATTAGCAAAAGTTGAATATCCTGAGATTTGTCTTCCGAGCTTCATGTCTGATATGAAAAACACTGTTTTCTTGTCTACATCATCTCCTAACCAGCCTCACTTCAACATTTGACATATTAATTATGTAGCCTCCTCATAAAATCCCACTGTGATGAGGCAACTACAGACATCATTTGACTGGTTCTTCTGAAATTTGATTACTTTTTTTCAAACAAAAGCTGATTAGCCAATAAGCAAATATGTGTTTTGAGGGGACATAGAAAAAAATTAAGAACTACCAACTACTGATTTCTGATCTGAGAGGGAAACTGCAGTTAAAGGATTTCACTCAGAACGGACACTTCAATATACTTTCTGAATATTGTTATTCAAGCAGCAACTTTTACTTCCATCCCCTTCTCTACAATTAAAGATGTGTTGATTGGCAAGCTTGGATGAGGACATACTTGTTACACTGGTTACTTGTAAAAGAGCAGATCCAATACTATCTTATAGTTGACTCAATATTTAAAGCAATTAGCATGCTATGAAAATCCATTGGAATTCATACTGCCTTTGGTGAAAATGAAAAGATGGGTAGGAGAGCTCAGTGCTAAGAATGCTTACTGCAGAGGTAAGAGCACTGACTGTTCTGTGGACCCAGGCTCATTTCCCAACACCCACATGACAACTTAGAGCTAATTCCACTTAAGAGAATTTGAGACAATCCCAGACATTCATGTAGGCAAACACCAATAACCCCAACTACAGAGGACCGCTACAAGCACCAATCACATATATGGTGCATGTGAGATATGCTGGCAAATGTTCATGTAGCATTAATTTACTTTTAAAAACAGGAATAGTTCAGATGCAAATCAAGGAGCTGAGTTTGAAGACAGCCTGACTATACAACATTAACAAGCTCCAAGACAACTATCAAGAATAAAGGAGGCCCTGCCCAAAATGCTGGCTATGGTGAAACAGGCCTTTCATTCCAGCACTCAGGAGGCACACAGATCTCTAAATTAGAGGCCTACCTAGTCTACAAAGCATGTCCCAGGACAGCCAGGGCTGTTACAAAGGAACCCTGGATGAAAACTAAGCCCAAAAGAATAAAGCCTATACCACCATTTGGAGAAGCGAAGTGACTGAAGCCTAGATGAGGCAGTGTTGTCAGCCCTTCAAAAATGTTAGGGTTCACATACATCTGTAAGATACATCTAAGAGCTCAAAGAAAATGTGGCACGGTAGCTCAAGGCTACCCCATAAGACTTAGAAAAAGAACTCAAATCTATAAGGTACAAGCAGAATAGACTTCCTCCCCAGTTACGAGTTTAGAAACTATTGTGCTTGGAGATCAGGGTAAAAACTTGCCAACCTTTTGACAGACAAGGTAGACATACCGGTAAATGCAGTTCCAGAGCATTAGCAAGGGTAAGCTTTTCTTCAACAAAATGGACATACATTAGTAATAGTAGAAAAGGAGCCCAAGATGTTGAAAACATTTCCCTCACTAAGAAATGATATTGCTAAGAATGAAGTAAGTTAATACAAGGCTACATGTGTTAATATATGTATCTAGCAGCTCTCAGCAATCCCATAGGCTGAAACAGTACCATCTTCAAATAGTGGTAAACCTAAACTATAATGCAGACACTAATTTGAAGACAAAACAAAAACCATGACAGCCTACGCTTAAGTTTATAACAAGCATTTGAAAAACGAAAATTTTCTTGTCCTTTTTCAGAGAATTTTATTTGAGTGGTTCTTACAAAGATTGTTGCAATATGAAAGTCATTTGTTTGATAGAAATATCAAGCTGTCTTGTCAAACACACTGAAGTAACCCAAAAATATATTTCAGAGCTCACAGAGCTTAAGAAGAGCAAAGATTATATGCAACCAGACAAAACCTATTTCTGCATTTCCTATCACTTGCTCAGACAGCTTAGTTCAAACTGTTACATCAAACATCTTCAGGAAATGCAGGGATCATTTTGTTTGGAATCTCAAGACACACTAACACACAATATTTACAAAGAAACTTTTACAGATACATTAATTGAAAAGTTACCATCAACAAATATAATTTTGAGATCACTTTCTTGCCAAATGATCAAGGTGAGATGCTAAACAGCCCTTAGCTGTCTAGATTTTTCACACACTACATGTGTGTTCCAGAAACCTTTCCTGAACCAAGGCGCCAAATACATGAAAGAATGTGAAATGTAACTGCTGTGTAAAAAGTTAGGCTTCTGAAACATTAAAACATTACCTGTCTGCCTTTATACAGAAAGCACATTTGTTCCCCTAGAGCTATTCTATAGAGCCTTAATGTAATATTCTACACGGACATTTTAAAACGGCAGAACAAGCAAAGAGCTTTGCATAAAGTAGGATTTGCTAGTTAGGGAGAATGAGCACACTGCATTCCTGTTAACATTTTTATTTTTCAAGATAACAGGAGTTGAATACAAATGACAGTAGACCCTTGCCTCTTTATTTTTATCTAAATAAAAGATAACTCAAGATGAATTCAAGGAAAAAAAAGCTATATACATAAGGGAATATATCTTCCTTCATCGTCTACTTGGAACCAGTAGTTGTGTTGCTGTCATAGAATCGGGAAAGAGGTTGTGGTAAGTTGGAAGAGGTACATACGCTGCTGTTATCATTTTACCTGTTGAGAAAAGAAACAAAGTTGAGTTAGACAACTTGACTTAATAACTTGATGTCCAACATAAAGTCTATGTAGCAGTAACTCACCAGCAAACCACCTGCCATGCAATGCATTGACAGCAGCAATAGCTGCAGCAATCGACGGGCACTTCACATACACATTGCCCTGAAAGTAGAAAAACAAAAAATAAATAAAAACTGGATAGAACACAAGTTTCAATATGTTTGCAGCTTACTAAAGTTTTCATATTCATTCAAATAGCTTACGAGCAAATACTACAGATGTTTCTGAAAACATGATTTAAATATATAAATAAATATCTTTTTATTCCCCCCAAATCCCTCATTTATTTTTAAATAAAGAATAAGAAAACAGTAGCAGTTAAACGAAGGTAACCACTGTAAACAAACTGATACATAACACAACTCTCATTAAAATTTGTTTTTATCTTGCCTTTCTTTCAGGGGGTATACTTAGTTAGCACACACTGTGTGCCTAGAGTAAGCAAAAATCACATGGGAGGGTGAACCAAATAACAAAATTAACAATTCATTAAAAAACAAAAAAAACAAAAACTAATGAAATACAATGGCCATGAGATACACTAATTGGGTCAAAAATAAGATAAAAAACAATACAATATATATATATATATACCCAAACTGTTTACTTAAAAGTATCAAAATAAGGCCCAGCAGTGGTGGGGGACGCCTTTAATCCCAGCACTGAGTTTGAAGTTGGCCAGGGACTAAACTATACATAGTGAATACTAGGCAGCCAGAGCTTTAAGGGAAACCCTGTATAGAAAAGAAAATCCCACAAAGAAAAAAAAAAATATACCTGAGCTGAATTTTTGTCAACATAAATATGAATAACTCCTCCATGTTTATTACATTCTTCAATCACATCGTCTTTAATCTCTGTATCCCATCCAACTTCTTCTTCTCTGTAAGAAAGGACAAAACATAATGAAGTTATATTTAAATACTATAAGTGGTTAAGAACTATCTTTGCATATGGTCAAGAATCTAGAAAGGAATTCATTAGCTCTTCCACCATATTAATACCAGGCAGGCAAAAGAGTTCAAGGCCAGCATGGTCTACAAGTCTACAAAGTAAGTTCCAAGACAGCCAAAACTAACCCACAGAGAAACCATGTCTGGAAAACAAAATAAATAACAAAAAATAAAACCAAAAGTTGAATTTTAGCATCCAAATTATTATTATGAAAATTTCATAATTATTATTATTAAAATTATTTTCAAACATTTGAATAAAAAAAATTTCAAAAAAAAGGTATTTCACAAAGATAAGCAGAGACGGATCACAAGTTCAAAACATGCATAGATTATTAGTGCAATAGAAAAGGTCACTCCAACCAAAAAGAACAACAACAACAACAACAACAAAAAAACCAAAAAAAAAAAAAACAAACAACTGAGTCCCTGTTGGGAGCAAAAAAGGACCGGTAATCTCCATTATCAGCAAAAGCCCTCACTTATATTCATGACCAAGTAAAAGGGAAATAAAATCCTAATAGCAAAACAGGATAGAGTGGATAGCTCAGAGATTAAGAATACTCGCTACAGAGGACCTCCTTTTTAAAGAGAGCACCAAAGGGAGTGAGCTCAGTGGTCAAGAGCACTATGTGTCCTCCCAGAGGAGCAGGACTCAATTCCTGGCACATGTCAGCAGCTTACCAGGAAACCTAGTACCCTCATACAACTCATAGGGTAAGACATTACACATACAACTAGGTAGTAGTCAAAGGCTATAGATATTTTACTAATATCACAGCTTTGAATTTCGAACCATGTGTCCATGTGCAAAACAATGCCAACTACTCAATGTAATAATTTTTCAATAATTAAATATTACAAATGGCAATTTATCCTATTGTAAGCATACTTACGTTTGAGGGTTAAACATGTTAGAAAGTTGGAAACATTGTGTTGCAAGTGGTTGAACAGATGCAGCTGCAGCTAAAGCTGAGGCTAAAAAAGAAGAAGAAAAATTAGCTTCCTAGAAACCATGTAATATCCCGTGACAATAAACTAAAAACAAAAATGAACCCTATCTAAATGTGGAGATGTTTTATAATCACCTTCTTCAACGTAAGACATTTGCTCATTTTACCATTCAACCTTAACACAACTACCCTAAAGCATGACTACCCTAAATCATCGGTAGTTTAACTTATAATAAGTAACATAAACTATAAAATAATATTTAGAGAGTGAGATGGAGAAAACAGTCCAGACACAAGATTGGTACAGATGCAAAAAATATTGCTAAAAATTTAAGGAGCTGGGTTTGGAGCTTACTGCTAGCCTAGGAGTCATGAAGGTCTGGGTTTAATCCTTAACATAAGCACAAACAGGACATCTATAATCTTGGCCTGAGGAAGGAGAATCAGAAGTTAAAAATTACCCAGGCCAATATAGCAAGTTCTAGGCTAGACCATAAAATAAGAAATTCTGTTTCTAAGAAACAAACAAAACCCATATTTAAACAGGGCATTAGTGGAGGTCACATTATCCCAGCACTTGTGAAACAGGCAGGAGGGTCTCTTAGAGTTCTCGGTCTCTTGGCCTACAAAGCAAATTCTAGGATAGCCTGGACTACAACACGAGAGAAACACTTCCACAAACCAAACCAGCCAAACAAATCCTATGAGGGTTTGAGGACAGATATGTACTTTAAATTCATTAAATTAAAGCAAAAAAGCTTAATACGAATCAATCAGGATAAAAAAATTAAAATAAAGATTCGTTTTATACTTTAATGATACAAAATGGAGTTGTTGGAAATCTCTCTTGGTTTTGCCAAAAGTAATTTTTTTTTAAAAAAAAAGAGCAATGTGTATATCTTAAATTTATGTATAAAAACAAATTCGCTGAACTCAGCCATCTAAAGAGTCCCAAAGGCGCAATATATGTATATATATAAGAGTCATTGTCTATGTGCAAGAAGGCCGCATGACACAACCTGATACTTGCTTCATACTGTTGTGAAATACCATGTGGATTCTGGAAGCTAAACATAGGTCTTGAAACAAGAACCTAAAATGCTCCAAAACAAAGAGCAATCTTTCGGATACATCTTTCTTTTCAATGCATGAACCTTAATATGATTAACTCTTAAAAGGTAAGGAAAAAGTATTCAAGAAAAAATGTCATAATGTAGTAACATATTAAATGCTTTGTCATAGAAAAAGAATAGAAAATAACAGCTCACCTATGGTATGACTCATATAAGTTTGAATATACTGGACATTGTAATATATATAGCTGTAGTTAACTGTTAATTGTTGCAATGGTTTCTATTTGGTGTTCCTTAGGTTAAGGTTTTCGGTTGAGACAAGGTCTTGTGTCCCTCCAGTTAGCATAGAATTACCAAAGATATTATAGCAGCTGTTACAGAACTCACCGTAATCATATTATATGACCAAATCCCATTCCAATGCATTAACAACAAACAGCTAAGGATAAAATAATGTATTAAGATATCGAGATAACTAAACAAATAATCTCTAAGGACTTATGAGACAAATTGCACTGAAAAATACAGCTAATCATGAAATAGCACATGAAAAAAATTAAATCTATTAATTTTGTGCTTTATGGTTATGTTTTTTGAGACAGGGTTTCTCTGTGTAGTCCTGGCTTTCCTAAAATTGGCTCTGTCACATGAGTTCTGGAACTAAGTTCTAAACAACCACTGTACAACCACAGGGCATCTTATTAAAGAATTCCTGTGTAATAATAGGCATGTTACTCCACTCTTCAAATACTAGCACTAGAGAAAGCATTATGGCCAATAGGAAATATAATAGGAAATAGAAGACAATTAGCTCTTTTTCTTTATTTCCTTTTTCAGTCTTAAATTCCCATGGCGGTGGAAGTGAAAGCCTTTGATCCAAGCATTCAGAAGGCAGAGACAGATGCAGTGAGGCCAGCCAATTCAACAGAGGTACTTCCAGGACACAAATAAACCCTGTCTTGGGTGAGGGATACGAGTGCCCTCAATATGTCCTTTAAAGAAAAAAATGATTTTTCTTTTAGAGAATTAAGAAACCTTTTCCTAGTATTTCCCACTATGAACAAATATTACCTGGTGCAGCTTAGGATTTTAAAGTATAACTGCTTAAGAAACCCAACATAATACATCTAAAAACAAAACATGCTGGTGGTAAACACCTTTAATCACAGCACTCAAGAGGCAGAGAAAAGCAGATCATTTTGACTTTAAGTACAGGATGGTCTACAGAGCAGAGCTCCTGAACAGCAAGGGTTGTTAAATGAAACCCTGTTTTGAAAACAAAAAATACAAAAACAATTGTAATGATTAAAAATGTCAGGCTCTAGCAGGCAGAGTCAAGCAGATCTCGAGTTTCAGATCAGCTTGTTCTACATACATAGTTCTAGAAGAGTCAGAGCTACACAGTGAAACCCTATCTACTAAAATAAAAAATGAATGTATGCATTACTAAAAGGCTTCAGGAAAGCACCTAACGGGAACTACTGATTAATTATTGATACAGATCAAGGAAATTACAAAGGGATCATTCTGGCTTATACTAAGCAGCATGCAGAAGCACAAAGAAATCAAATTTTCATTTGATAAAACTGTTTATCATTAAAAAAAGCAGTACCTACAAAAGTGGCATTTGTTTAAAGAAACTTAAAATACACTTAATGCTTATATAAAAATAACAAGATGTTTTTTCAAAGGGATCATTATGATAAAACAATAACCATGTTATTCTAATGGTGGGTGGCACACAAAGATGCTTTATTTCTGTCATGAAGTAGATTTCCTAAGTAAGACATGAAATCATGTCTACTTGCCATCATTTCAATATGCACATACTTTAGAACAATGTAAAGTCCCAGTCATGGCTTGATACTACAGAGTAGGACAAACCATCAGTATAACAACAATATAAAACATCTAGCCCCATACAATTCTTAATTTAAGAGCAGTCCCATATTCCATGTTCTGAGGCTTGTCTGCTAAAATATTGAAAATATGCCACTTTAATCTTTTAGGTAACCTTTATACTTAGATAAGCCATAAAAGAAATACAAGACTGAATTCTGGGTATTGCTCTTTTGAGAATCAAGAACTGAGTCCTCCCAGTCCTCTACCAGAAGTCAAAAAAAATCCTAAAGCTCGCGGCTTAAACATTCAAGAAATTCAAATTTAAAAATATTCAGACATCTTTTTTTAACTATAAATTCAGTGTTAGATTTTTCTAGCATATATTACATGGCAAAATTATATCCAAATAAGTATTAACAAATTTTATCTTTGTACACTTAATTATTTATCAAAGAAAAAAAGGTTAAAAATGAGTAACTCACCTTCAGTCTGTTGGGAAAGTCGTGTTTGCAAATCTATAACAAAAGAGAATTCTACAGCTCAGTGCAGGAACAATGAAGAGCCTCAACTAACAGGGTAAATGTCAGGAAAGTATTAATAAAAGAGGACATCAACAGCAGGGTTTATTAGAACAAACTTAGCAAAACCTGGCAGCAAAACCTCCTTCCCCATTCCTCATTGAATAGGCTTTGGGGCCTTTTACATAGGACAAATAATTATCCTGGAAAATTATTCACCTTTCCTATGCCTAGTATTCTTCCCTATCATGTGTTCCATTTATGATACCATGGCTAGGAATAATGGGAAATGGGGAAAGGGAAGCATACCAGTCAGAAAATATGTTAAAAACCCTGATTGAGAATTCAATTCCAAGTACTTGGAAAAAAAAAGACTTATTTTATTAATAGTAATCAGCATTAAGTATTTTAGAAAGTTTTATTAGAACTATAAGTGTAACAACAAATACCCATTTAAGAGCTATGATCCAGTTCACTTATTTTCCAATTTTGCATTGGAAAAGACAACATTGCAACAATGTAAGAATTATCTTTCTAAAAGGTTCTCAGATTCAATGTCATTGATTCTTAGCACAGGCTAACAATTTGATCAGCTACAGTGATAATTATTGTTTCAACACAGGAAAGCACATTAAAAATAAATCTGACATGTACTGAAAGTCTGTATATGATGGGAATGAAATTCAAGCAGTTAGTTGGTGTGGTCCAAGCCATTAAAAGCAGCAATAGCAGAGCAGAGACAGGTTGCGGGCTGCTTGAACACAGGGTGATCTACATAAGGACATCATAGTGAGACCCTGTCTCAAAAAAAACAAAAAAGAAAAAACAAAAAAACAAAACAAAAAACCCCAGGAGGTAGAGGGAACTTATCTCTGCAAAGCTACCATAGCTTATAAACCCTGTAGTTCTATTTGTTATGTAAAAACAATATAAATAAATAATGTAGGGAATAAATAAAATATATAAGGAAATCTAAACTACACTTTTATAGAGTTAAAACAGCTGGGCCTTTTGAGCTAAAAATTAGCGTATCTGTGAGCTCAAGGAATAAAATATATGTATATCAAGTGAATTCAAAAATATTAATGTAAAAGCATTATCAATTGCTTTAAATACAATTGCCTTTTTCACAAAAAATGGGTAAAATGTATAAATAAGATATTGATGCTATTAAGTACCAAGTAGGACAACTCTGAGTTGGGGGATGCAGGTTAAGACTTAAGGCCAAGCAGAGATATCCACTAACATCCTGTCTCAATAATGATAACGTAAATATAATTCTAACACATACATGAGAGCCAGGCAGTGCTAACACATGCCTTTAACCCCAGCACGTGGGTGAGGAAGGTAGGCAGATCTTGGAGTTCGAGGCCAGCATGATCTACAAGAGCCAATTCCAGGACAGCTAAGAATGTTACAGAATCTTGAAAAAGCTAAATTCATAAATGGGAAGGCCACTATCCTGACTATCTCATTTGGGTCCCGAAAACACTTGTATGGTGGAAGGATAGGGCGAGAACAGATAAATGGGTCTCTGGCCTTCACACATGGGGAGAGGATTAAGTATCTCACCTCAAAATAAGTAAACACAACTAAAACAAAACTTCTCTGCCTCCCCACCCCACAAAGTGAATTCTCTTTAAATGTGTATGAGTAATTTTCCCTAGCTTCATGTCTCTGCAACATGAGTCATTGCCTCTCGGGTCATTGCCTCTCGGGTCAAAAGAATGCATTATTTACCCAGAAATAGGAGTTATAATTAGCTGTGAGTCGTCAGGTGGATACATGAAATAGAACTCCGGTTCGCTTGCAGGAGTAGCCAGTCCTCTTAACTCATGAGGCCGGCATTATAGCTCATATATCTAAGACTTTTACTAATAATCACCAGGACAAATTATACCTCCAAGTGGCATGAAACTCATTAACTGGAGAGCGTACTCACAGCAACCCTAACTTCACTAAAAGTTATGAAGATTATAGGAGTGAGAAGAACTTGCCAAAACTAACACTACTATTGATCCTATAAAGGTAAAGAATATAAATGTGTTTTACTAGTCACTAGTCTCTCTAGGACAATTGTCCTCAACCTACAGGTTGAGAAAGAACCCTTCAATATTGGAACAATCATTTTGCATAGGTCACCTAAGACTATCACAAAAAGTATTTATTTACAATTCATACCCGAAAAATTAGTTATAAAGTAGCAAAAAAGTAATTTTAAGCGTCAAAACAACATGACAAACTGTATTAAAGGGATACAGTAAGAGAATGTTTAGAACCACTGCTCCAGTGGAATACCCAAACCATGATTGAGAATTATTTTTCACATGAAAAGTTGGCCTTAAAAGAATGGAAAAAAGTAACCATTTTCAAATTAAATAATCTTTTATTTTTGGTGACAAAAATCTCTCTACACAATTGCTATCAAAGAGCTCACTATGTAAACCAGGATAGCTTCACCTCTCAAATACTGAGAGATTAAAATTGAGCACTGCCACATTTGGTTATCTACAATTTTTCTGGTACTGTCTTTTGGCTTACAGGCACACACTGAATACATAACAAATGAATCTCAAAAAAGAAAGAGAAAAGTAGGAAAGAAAACAGCGTGATGTGACTATTAATTCAATGTTAAAAAAAAATAGTGGATGTTTTAAAATTCAAGAGAGGAAGCACAGGTAAAATAAACCTGTTGGAGCCAGGTAGCGGTGGCTTCCTCCCAGCACGCAGGAGGAAGAGGTAACTCTGTGAGTTTGAGGCCAGCGTGGTCTACAAGAGCTAGTTCCAGGACAGCCTCCAAAGCCAGAGAGAAACCCTGTCTCAAAAAACAAAACAAAAAGAAAAGAAATTCACCTGCCGCTGCATCCTGAATACTGGGATTAAAGGCCTGTGCCCAGCTGTGCCTCATTGCTACACTGTCATGTGACTGGCAGCCCAGTTAGGCTTGTTTTCCCCAACATCATACCCTGAAGAGGGACTTAAACTAAGATCCATTAAAAGACCTTTAAGAGTTCTGTTTGTTTGTTTTATTAAAAATTCCCACCTCCTCCCCTCCTCCTACTTCCCTCCCCTTCCCCCACACCCCCTCCTTCTTCATGCCAAAGAGCAGTCAGGGCTCCCTACCCTATGTGAAGTCAGTTTAAAAGTTCTTAAACTGAGGAGCAATTGAAGCCCCAGCCCAATATTCTTTGATTGTTTAGTCAGATTTTGTTTTTTTGAGACAGAGTGCCTCTGTAACAGCTTTACAGATATCTGCCTGCCTCCACCTCCTGAGTGCTGGACTCATAGGCGTGTATCAACACTAACCCTTATCCTTTTTCTTACAATAGCAATATAAAACATGTTTTATATAGCTATGTATCTAAGCAGATTCACTAAGCTAACACAAAGGTCTCTTTTTACATTCTGACTATTATTAGATTAAAATCTTACACAGCCTTACTTTCTATAAAATTTAGAACATAAATTACCAGACTTCTTTTTTTTAAATATTTTTATGTTTTATTTAACTTTATTTTATGTGCATTGGTGTGAAGGTGTCAGACCCCCTGCAACTGGATCTTCAGACAGTTGTGAGCTGCCATGTGGGTGCTGGAAATTGAACCCGGGTCCTCTAGAAGAGCATTCAGTACTCTTAACCACTGAGCCATCTCTCCAGGCCCCCCAGACTTCTTTTATTAACATATTGATTAATTGATTATGTATGCAGCACAGAAGAGAACACCAGATCTCACAGAAATGGAAAAGCAGTCAGGACCAGAGTCCCTAACCTCTGAGCCATCTCTCCACCCCCAGATCACAATACTTTTAATTAATTAGAATCAGTAAAATATTTGTGTTTAAAACAGGGTCTGACTCTGCAACCCAAGTTGTCCTGAAATCATAGTAATGCTGCCTTCGTATTATATATTGAATGCAGTTCTATCCATGATATTTCGAAAAGATTACCCTATGTTCTAGATTTGAGACTATGTTAATCTCTTAAAAATATTTAAGTTCTGTGTTTTTACGACTTTTGCCACCATGCGTATGTCTGTGCATCATGTGTAACTGTGGTATGGAAACTTAAGAAGACATAGCTCTCTTGGATGTACTGGGGTTATTAGATGACTGTGACCACATACATACAAAAACCTTTCCCTAAGGTGCTCTTGTCAAAGTAGTTAATCATAGAAACAAAAGAGCAAACAAGCAAAAAAAAAACCCCTAACCTTCCTTTTAACAATGGATAGTTTCTAAAAATTAACAGCAACAATCTGAACTACACTTTAGATTCTTTCATAATCACACAGGGCACTCTGTAACCATTAAGTTGGTAGAAGTACTTAATGAATTGAATTCTCAGTTAGTCCTTTGAAATGCAAAAAATTTGGCATATTTTCGAATTAGGTGAAAAACAAATGATTTCAAATTAGAAAAGATTCAATTCCTACCTGCCACAGCACCAAATGCCAAAGAGCCACTCATTTGTAATGCTTGCTGTGCTGCTGGTGGAATCTGCAAACCTGTACCTGTAAAAGAATGAATCAAGTTCTTACTAAGGTTACAGCAGAGAAACCCAATTTGAGGAATTTACACTATGTGCTAAACTCAGAGGCATAAGTAAAATGGTTCTACTCTGGAAAACCAGTAACACTATTGAAAACTTACCCTCTGCAAGTCTAGCCATTAATTGGAGACGACCAGTTGTTCCCAAATCAATTCCAGTCCTTTCAAGTTCATCACTATCCAAAAATGAACTAGCGCTAGACGCATCAGTCCGTTCAGTAACATGACCAACTTTCATTGGTCTCCCAGCTAGTTCAAATCCATTAAGCTGTTCCAAAGCTTTTTTGGCACATTCTGAATCAGAAAACTAGAATAAACGACAAGAAATTTACAACTGATTAATTTTCAATATATCACTACAGACAAAATAGTACCTTCAAGTGCACTGGCATACTGCCTGGAATGCCTGTGTGAAGGTGACCTCTGATAAAGATATATATACATTATTTACATTTTCCAGTCATTGTCTTCCTTGCTGCACAGTTTTGTAATGACTGCTTAATATTCTGATATGAAGTCTTAATCTATAAGTTATATAGAATTATAGGTCAATAGTCATTCATGTTTGTTTTACTTTTACTCAGACAAATTAGGGTTTTAGATGCATAGCGATTCTATTCTGTATACATAGTCAATAGAGTTATAGACAGTTGCAAGCTGCAATGTGAGTGGTGGAAGTTAACACAAGTTCTCTGGAAGAACAGTCAGAGCTCTTAACGGCTGAGCCATCTCTCCAGCCCCATGTAGTAACTCCAAAAATATATTTTTGTCTGTTTTTTAAGACAGGGTTTCTCTGTAATGCCATTCTAGAACTCACTGAAATTGCCTGCCTCTGCCTCCCAAGTGTGGGGAGTAATGGTGTATGCTACCTACCATCAACTGGCTAACTTCATAAATTTAATATAAAACACTGAGAAAATAGAAGTATATAAAAATAGTGTAAAATTAAAAATTTGCAAATTAAAATGCATGATAGCTAGAAAGAAGGAAATAAACAAAAGCATATTTTAAGGCTGTTTTAACTTTTAGGCAATGTGTCGCTATATATCATAGGCCTATACTCACTATGTTGATTAAGCTGGCCTTCAAATCTTTGAGACATCCCTCCAGCCTCCCAATGGATGGGAATGAAGGTTTCTACCAGCACATCAAGAAATCTATCTGAACTTGTAGAAGAATCTGCTTGACTGAAGAAGGCACCTTTTTCTTCACATCTTTTTGTTTCCAGATTAATTTTCAATGTCCTGTACCCTGCCTCTTCTACACAGATTTAACACAGGCTTTTTTTTCCCTTCGGATTTCATGACTTCAAAGGACTTAAATAAAGGCCTCCAAAACCTTTTCCTACAAAGAAATGTGGTAAGGGACTGCTTTGAACCACCTAAAATTCCAGCTCTAGGCAGGGCAGCCGTGATGCATGCATTTAATCCCAGCATATGGGAGGCAGGACAGGAGATCTTAGTGAATTTGATGGCAGCCTGATCTACAGAACAAGTCCCATGATAGGCTCAAAAGCTATAGAAAAAACCCTGTTATCAAATCCCCACCTCAAAAAAATAATTTCCACTACAGGTGATTTATATCCTCTTTTCCCTCCCCAAGCACATAAATGGCATACACCCATGAATGAAGAAAAAAAACAGAAATGTTGTCAGGAATCATGGCACATGGTTTTTACCCCAGCACCTGGGAAAGAGAGACTATTTCCACTATGAGGTACATTAACAGTGGAATGGAATATTGCCTGAGGGGGGAAAATGTGGTTGGCACATGCCTTTAAAATGCTAATTCTTGCTACGCTAAATCATGTGTATGATTTTAAAGCCAGACTGATATAAAGGGAGTTCTAAGGTTATACAGATATTTCACATCAAAACAAACAAATAAGTATATAAAAAGAAAATAATAAAAAGTGAAGTTAATAGACTAGGTTAAGAACCTGTCTCTAAAGACAAGAAAATTCAGTTTTAATACAAACAAGTCGAGCTTTCTCATAATATTGTGTGGCTACTTGACTGACTCACAAATCCAAACATTAATTTCTCCATGGTTCCCATGATGTTGCCATGTTTTTCCACACACAATCTGCATTGCCACCACATTTAATGCCCTGACACTTGTCTGCACTGTCACGCCCATAAAATCCACCTCCTTCTTTCCTGAAGGACTTTGACCTTAAGAAGCAGTATTACCATTGAACTGATTCACATTAATGCATATAACTCAAATAGAATACATAGTTATATACAATACATATAAAAACAAAATATTTATAAAATATACCATGAAGTCATATGATTTAACCTTGTAACGTTGAATTAAAAAGCGATATGCAATATAAACTGTACATAATATATTAACTATATTTAATTATACATATTATACACAAAGTTATTACAAGAAAGGATTTTCTTCAAACTCCTGGCATTCCTGGTACTCACTCTTTAAACCGTGCTAGCTGGGAACTTACTCTGCCTCCTGAGTACCTGTGTCTCCAAAAACCAAGGGGGAGGAGGGTGCGGGGCACAGATAATGTATTATCTTTTATCTAAATTCAAGGGCTGGAAGCTAAAGAGAAAAACCATTAACCTTGTAAGCTAAATTTTTCACAAATCTTCATTTTAACAAGAATGAGCATAAGGAACCTGACAAGGTAGTGTATGCCTGTAACTTAGGGGGCAGAGCTCTATTGTTTTGAGGCCAGCCTGGCCTACATCTAGAAGCCAGGGTTACAATGAGGGACCAGAACTCAAAAATAAACAAACAGATATATTATATACCCAAGTTCTTTGTGTATCTGACACCACTGGACTTTATAATCACCAGTACTGACATGCATAGATCAAAACAGGCATAATACAATCAGAAACTAGATACAAATAAATGTAGATATTTCTACAAATAAAATCTCTTGAAAGTATAAATCATTTTTATATTTACAATAATCCCTACCCCATATACACAGCAAATATTGTAAAACAACTACTTACCGTAATGAATCCATATCCCTTAGATCGACCTGTTTCACTGTCCATCATGAGTTGAATACTTTCAATCTAAAATTTAAAGGCATAAATGTTCCTTAAAATACAGTTTTTAAAATCTAGACTATACTGTATCCTTATCCCTCAGATCCCAAAGTAACGAAGATATTACAAGTGTTTCTTCACAAATAAATGCTATAATTTTTTTATTGCTGTTTATTGAGCTCTACATTTTTCTCTGCTTCCCTCAATGCCTCTCCACCCCACCCCCAAGGATACACATGCTCCCAATTTACTCAGGAGATCTTGTCTTTTTCTACTTTCTACTTCCCATGTAGATTAAATCTATGTAAAATAAAATTTTGTAAAGAATTAGAATTTTTCAGAATTAGTCCACTTTGTCAGGAATATACTATCTGAAGAGTGAGGGAAAGAAAAAAGTACTAAAATTTACCCTTCCAAAAGGCTCAAAGATCCCCCGAAGCATATCTTCAGTTATGTTAAAGTGTAATGATCCCACATAAAGCCTCATAGGTCCAGCACTTCCCTTTTGTAAATTGTTAGCCATTGCAGCAGCTCGATTTTTTTCTGCCTGTAAGTGAAAAACACGTCAAACACTAATATAAAGCAGGCACTGTCTATGACAAAGGACAAAGATTAAAAAGGAAAAATCTATCAAGAAGAAAAACTGAACCCCAAACTCAAAAATAGAGAAAATCGACAGAAAGAATTTGCCATGCACAAGGGAAAAGGGAAACTGAATTATTGGTAAAAAGTCTTGTCTGGAACCATAAAATTGTATGACAGAAGAATGATGGTGATAGCTAAAACAAACTGTCAATGTCATTACTGGCACCAAATTAAACTGAAGGGTGGTGATACCATGTATTAAAATCTAACGTGTGCTTGTTATGCAAACATTGAGGTATATTCCATGACACTCAATTTTGCAAAACAGCTGGTGTGTTAAATGTTCCAATTCACAATTTTAGAATGTGATATGAATATTTGAAGACATTCAATACTCATTTTCAGACAAGCCCCAAGATCAATTTATCTAAGAGCTGAATGAATGTTGTCCATCTCAAACCATGCCTAATTTAGAAATAAGGTTTTTGAAGAACCATATACATTAATTAGTCTAAGTAAATAATTACTATTTGATCTATAGTAACACCATTCAAAACTTCATTATTTATGTGTTGTGGATGTATTGCCTGCATGTGCATCTGTACAATATTCATGTCTAATGTGAGAATTTTATTAAATAAGTTTGGTCGATAAAGAATCATCATATATTGATTATCAATCAGGCTTTGTAAAACTGATGACAATTCTCCTGCCTAACCCTCACATTAGTTCCTGTGCTACGCTACAACACCCAGCTCAATGACCAACCTCTACATTAAGAAGTTACCTGTGATGCCTGTACTATAATTGGCACTCCTAAAACACGTTGGCCAGTTAATCCAATTGCTAGAGGCACTGAGCTAACATCAACAAATTCCACATAGGCAATTCCTTTGGAACGTCTTGAATTTCTATCAGAAATCATCCTCACATCTCGAACCTAAAGTAAAAAGAAGTACAATAATTATTTTGTACTAAAAGAAAATAATCTACGTAATTATTTCAACACATAAAACACTGTTTAGTCATAAACACTGTCTCAATATATGTCCCGCGGGCTTAAACTTGTTTTGCAGTCCTAGCTGGCTTTAAATTCACAAAACTGTGCAAAGATTAAATTTCACTACCAAAAACAGGATTGACATGTATCTTTAGGATTTCAATATTTACTCCCATCTTATGTTAAAGCTTACAGCCTTTTTACCTCAATAATAGGGTTACATTATCCAAGACTTGCTTCTCATATAATTAATGGATAATTTATTACGTTATCTTTGGGGCGGGGGTAAAAACGTGAAAGTTACAGGACAACTTTTAGCCATCCTGCTCTCTCCTTTCATCATGAACTACAGGGATAGACTCAGTGTCATCTCATCAGGCTTGATGTTAACTACTTTAACCCAAAATGATTACGGACGAACCTGGTGTCGAGAGATTTTCCTAAAACTCTAAACCTCAAACATACTCCTCCCTTTACCTCAAATAGTAGCAAGGGTTATAGTAATTATAACATATTGAATTATATAATTCAATCACACCCAGAAAACCTCTAGTGTTTTCATTTTTACATATTAAATTTTCATCTTAATCCATTCAATATACTCATAGCTTAAATCCCAAAGTAGAATCATATATAAGGAACATGTGTTCTGTGAATGGACTAAAGCAGCACAGAATTGGTTTACAAAACCATGTGTCCATATCCCCAGACACTTTTCTAAGTCTTCCAAACTTCAGTGGCTTCATACTATTATTATAGCAATCCCTTTCATATTTACTGTAAGTACAAAATTACCTATTGCCGTTCACCTTGGCTACATTCCATAATGTGAAAGTAATCCCCTACTGCTAATGACACAAGCACAATGTATGGAAATAGGACTTGGAGGAATTCATCTGGAACTGACCTGGAAGCCTTGTCCCTGAGGACTAGCTCTCATAGTACTGGAAGATGCTTATACAAACTGCCAAGGGAGAAAAGCAATCAATAGTCCTAACCTGCTGTGATACCTACAAAACACAATGATGATCAACAGGAGATTTCCCAAAAGGTGCAATGTGGAACTTTATATTGAGGATTACCAGCTAACAACAGTCTAATTGAACTCACAGCTGACTCAATAGGAAAGAATCCATTGGTGTACTGTAAAGCTACTAAACTGTCTAAGTCTTTTGAGGCCAAAGAAAATAACCTATTATTACCAGGATGTCAAACCACACCATACATATTTATCCTTAATTTTAACAGTAAGGGTTGTCAGACCTCATTTTTCATCAAAGTTTTTGAAATCAAATGAAGACCATTTCAAAAAGCACCACTATATCATAAGGGTGCTCAGGCCCAAATGATACATCAACAACACATGCAAGGATCAGGAACCATCATGGAAGAGAGGTGTAATAAAGATTTTTAGGAGCCAGATGAACAAAACACTCTCTGAGGAATTTTTTTTGTTTTTGTTGTTGTTGACAGAAGCTGCATTCAGGAAATGTCAATACAGCAGCCAAAACATGATAGCACAAGGTGAAGTAGGACAATCAAATCAGTCTTCTTCAAATGAAGACATAATTGGTTACCCAGTACTAAGTGGTCAGTCCTAAAAATTATACATATGCAAAGACCACTAAATGCCCTCAGGAGATTATATTTATGTACTTAATAAGAAAGTAACAAACAAAATTAAATAATTTGTGATATCATTCTTCAAAGCACATACACACATGCTCACTTTTCTTTTTTTTTCTGAGATATGTTTTTTCTCTGTAGCCCTAGCTATCCTAAAACTCACTCTGTATACCAAGCTGGTCCTGGGACTCACTCACCTGCCTTTGGATCCTGAGTGACAGGATTAAAGAATGAGCCAACAGTGCCTATGAAACTCCAGTTTTCCTTGAATTCACCTTACACGTTGGTATTTTAAGGGGTATGTCACAATGCTCAAGCATAATGCTGGAAATGGTTAAAACCCCTTACTTCAACCAACTTGCAGTCTGTAAACGGGTAGTTACCTTTCCTACTGTAGAGAAAAACTCTTCCAAATCCCTTGGTCGAATTCTTGCTGCCAGCTGCATGCAGAACACTGTCCTTGCATCTCTCTCCTCAGGAGTTAGATTATCAATAGGCTCCCTAAGAAAAGAATACAGAATGCTGAAACATTTTTTAATTGAAGAAAGGATCCATTTATCACAGTTACCTTCCATCTACCATTTTCATTATTTTTCAGGACAGGTTTTCTCGGTGTAACCCTAGATGTCCTGGAACTCAAAGAGATTCCACATGCTGGGAATGAAAGGCCAGTGCCATGACTGCCAGATTCAAACTCGTGTTTTAACCAAAGATATTCTTTCAGCTTTTTTTATTTTTCTGAGATAGGGTTTCTTTGTTTAGTCCTATCTGTCCTGGAACTCACTCGGCAGAACAGGCTGGACTCAAACTCAGAGATCCACTTGCCTGTTCCCCAAGTGCTGTGATTAAAAGGCAAATGCCACCACCACTGACAGTTCAAATATTTTTTAAATATTCAATTTAACTGTCTATACCTGTCTATCATGTGCTCAGAGTGTATACAATTATATTAAACTCATGCCAATGGAGATCAGTTAAGCTAGCAAGTAGTGCCAGAAAATGAACTCCATTCTTCTCTAAGAACAATTAAGTTCTTTCTCTTCTCAGTTAAGTCATCTTTCTAAGTCCTTATCTTGAAAATCTCACCTTCCTGTTTCATCCTCTCAGGTTTCAGCATTATAGACTTGCATCACTCACTTTATGCAGTGCTAGGCATTAAACTAAAAATTTAATGCCTGTTAAGCAAGTGATCTTACATCTGTCACACACTTTTTTAAAATTTATGCTCTCCAAGAGCATGAAACTAAAAAATGTCCTGAGTTTTGAAGTAATTTTTAATGTAAACCTTTAGTAAAATTGTAAACAAGGAGGTAGTCCTGTACTTCCAAGCCTTTAATTTCAGCACTTGAAAGCAGGTAAAAATCTGCGTTCAAGGGACTGGTGAGATGGCTCAGTGGTTAAGAGCATTGACTGCTCCTCCAGAGGACCTGGGTTCAATTCCCAGCACCCACATGGCAGCTCGAAGCTGTCTGTAGCTCCAGTTCAAGAGAATCTGACATCATTATACCAATGAGCATTAAATAAAGTTAAATAAAGTTTTATAAAAAAAAAGAAGAAAATCTGAGTTGAAGGTCAATTTGTTCTACATAGCAAATTACAGGGCAGCCTGAGCTACATAGAAGACCTATCTTGAAAAACAATGAAAGGGAAGAAAGGGGTTGGTGAGATGGCTCAGCACTGAAGGATATTTGCTGACCTTGCGTTGGTAGTTCACAACTCCAGTTCTACATTATACAATAAACACTCATAACCTCTAAAGACCACCAATCACATAATTCACATAACACATACATGCAGAAAAACAAGAAATTAACTTCTAAATATTAAAAAATAAACTTTTCATTAGTTGTCACGGTTTCCAGGTACAGTTTTAATACACGCTATGTACACAAATGTCCACAAAATTTCAAAATGTCTTTTTCCAATTGACCAAATAATCTCTCTCATCTCTGTATGGATAATATTAGAACATCAAAGAATAGTTCTTAAATTATTAAAGTGGTCATCTCTCAACATTATACAGCTGATCAGACATCATCTGTCAGATATCCTTTAACCCCAGCAGTCCATTATGCAGATGCAGGCGGATCTGAGTTCCAGGCCAGCCTGGTCTACAAACCAAGTTTCAATACATAGAGAAACTCTTTGTCAAAAAACAAAGAAGGAAATTACCTAAACAAATATGAAATGAGATTTAGCAGATTCATTTGACAAAAAAATTAAAATTATAACACTTTGAGCTTAACAGATATGAAAAAAATATTCAAATAAGGGAATAGTAAAATAAAACAAATATAACTTTCATTATCTTATTTTTTTTCCCCCTCATATTTTCAAGACAGGGTTTCTCTTTGTAAGCTTTGATGCCTGTCCTGGAACTCACTCTGTATATCAGGCTAGCCTCAAACTCTGACTCCAAGTACTGGAATTAAAGGCATGTATGTATCACTGCAACATGGAGTAGGTTTTTTTTTTAAATATTTATTTTATTATGTATACAATATTCTTTCTGTGTGTATGCCTGAAGGCCAGAAGAGGGCACCAGACCTCATTATAGATGGTTGTGAGCCACCATGTGGTTGCTGGGAATTGAACTCAGGATCTTTGGAAGAGCAGGCAATGTTTTCAACCATTGAGCCATCTCTCCAGCCCCAATGGAGCAGGTTTTGTCTTGTTTTTCCTTACTGGTTTTCTTCTTGTGACCGAATTTAACCATACAAACCGTCGTGACTGAGTAGTGCCTTTGTCAAGCAGCTTGGTATGGAACTTATAGGTATCTTTATTCCTCAACCTTGGAAGTACTACAATTAAAGGTATTAGTTATTGTGCTAAAGAACTTTTTAAAAATATGCTGCTTCACAGAAAAGTCTGTCAGATATGTTAGGCCTGTAGGTCGAAGATGGATGTCCCAACATTGCACAGGAACCTTAGATTCCATGCAGCCAGTTGTTTTTGACATATCACACACTTTTTGGTAGTCATGTGCTCGTACTTCCTGCTTACTGAGTTAAATTAGTTCCTGCTCAGGTCTCTGATGGAGTGGAAGACTTTATATTTATAGTTTTCCTCATAGATTCAAGAAATTCAATAAAGAGATGTAAAGTATATAAGGCTAAGAAACATTAAAACACAGTTTTGGGGAGCAGGAGAGATGGCTCAGTGGTTAAGAGCATTGCCTGCTCTTCCAAAGGTCTTGAGTTCAATTCCCAGCAACCACATGGTGGCTCACAACCATCTGTAATGAGATCTGGTGCCCTCTCTGGTTGCAGGCACACGTGTAGGCAGATATTGAATGCATAATAAATGAATAAATATTAAAAAAAAACAGTTTTGGTAATTGAAGTTAGAAAAGAAAGAGACAGTGGTTAAGAGCCACATGGGAGCTCACAACTATAACTCCAGTTCCAGGGGACCTGATACACACAACAAAAAGAAAATGAATGAATGATGAATGAATGGAAGTGAATTAGGTATAATCTTTTATAGTATTTTTTTCTGAATATGTCATTTGCTAATGGACTAAACATTGCTGATTTATTTATTGCATAGTTATTGTATACTTATTGTATATAGTTTCTTTTTATTAGTTATAACTATTTTTTGTCTTAGACAAAAAAAGGGAAATGTGCTATTTTGTGCTCTAACAAAGCTTGCCTCAAGAAGCAGAGACAGGCAGGATCACTGAATTTGAGGACAGACTGGCATACACAGAAAAATCCTATCTTGAAAAACAAAACAAAATCAGAATTCCCAAAGAGCTAACTCTCTTGCTCTTAAAGGCCTAATTTTGGTTCCCAGCATCATGCTGGATGGCTCACACCACCTATAACTTCAGTTTTCAGATCTTAATTCTGAAACCTTTTACCTCTTAGGGACAGTCATATTCACACACAAATAAACAATTTAAAAATCTATTTTAAAATAAATATATATAACATAAACATGTTCTTATTCATTCAGTACACTACTAGATAGCACTAATAATCAAAAAGACTTGAATTTCATCTCTGAGATATCAGTGAAGAATTTTGTTTGTAAAATTGTAGATGGAATCCTGCTATTCAAGTACTCTACTGGGGCTGGAGAAATGGCTCAGAGGTTAAGAGCACTGACTGCTCTTCCAGAGGACCCGGGTTCAATTCCCAGCACCCACATGGCAGCTTACAGATGTCTGAAAATCCAGTTCCAGGGGATCTGACACCTTCACACCAATGCACATAAAAATAAATAAATAAATAAATAAATAAATAAATAAAGTGCTCTACAATTGTTCTACACTTCCAGTTCAACACGTAATTTCAAACACGTAAGGGTCAAAAATGTCTAAGATTCAAAGAATAACAAGTTTTTCTTACAAGTAAACTTATTAAGAATACCACAATATTAACTGGACAATGGTTATGCATGCATGCATTTAGGAGTCAGAGACAGACGGCTATCTGTTGAGTTCCAGGTCAGCCTGGTCTACAGAGTGAGTTCCAGGACAGTCAGGACTGTTAAACACAGAAACCCAGTCTCAAAAAAACAAGGGGGGGCTGGAGATATGGCTCAGAGGTTAAGAGCACTGATTGTTCTTCCAGAGTTCCTGAGTTCAATTCCCAGCAACCACATGGTGGCTCACAACCATCTATAATGAGATCTGGCGCCCTCTTCTGGCATGCAGGCATACATGGAAGAAATGTTATATACATAATAAATAAAATCTTTAAAAAAAAACAACAAGGGTGCTGGAGAGATGCCTCAGAGGTTAAGAGCATTGGTTGTTCTTCTAGAGGGCTGTTCTTCTAGAGGAGTTCAATTCCGAGTAACATAGTGGTTATAACTATCTACAATGAGATCTGGTGCCCTCTTCTGGTCTGCAGGCAAAATACTATATACATAATAAATAAATATTTTAAAAAACAAACAAACAAAAAGCTGAGAGGAAAAAAATAATGCACCAGTATCGTGGTGGGAGGGGGGACACAGGTACAGAGTTCAGGTCAACCTGATCTACAGACAAGTTCCAAGACAATCAAACCTAGCATAGAAAGTCTATCTCAAAAATAAAAACACAGCAAAACAAGAATACCACAATATTTATTAAAAAAGGAATTTCACTAATAAGTATATCTCAAACACAAGGATTTTATGCTGAGAATACATAAGGAAACAAGAATAAACTTTAGTTTAGGAAATGTTTCCAACAATGGAGATTGCTCAGGACTGGCTACCCTTGCTGAAAACCATGGTTTTTTTGTTGTTGGAAATCTAATACCTCAACAGCATCAGGCATGATATACTGTATATACATGCCTGTAAACACTCAAATACATGAAATAAAAGCTTTTGTAAGTAACAAAATAAGTTGGGCATAGTGGCACATACATAGGAAGTTCCAAGTGTGCAAGGTTACAAAGGAATATCTTTCCTTAAAAAAAAAAATAAATCGGGGGCTGGAGAGATGGCTCAGTGGTTAAGAGCATTGCCTGCTCTTCCAAAGTTCCTGAGTTCAATTCCCAGCAAACACATGGTGGCTCACAACCATCTGTAATGAGGTCTGGTGCCCTCTTCTGGTCTGCAGACATACACACAGAATATTGTCTTCATAATAAATAAATTTAAAAAAATAAATAAATCAATGAAGCTAAATTTAAAATGTTCCTCATATAAAGTCAGCCAGAGGTTAATGAAGCACCTACCACATGGCAAAATGTGCCCTGAAGCAAAATAATAAACTCATCAAGGAAGGAATTCAAAAACCCTTCATTAACAGATATACCCATTCAATTGTGTAAGACAGGTAGGATGAAATGCACTTTCTCTCTCTCACTCTCTGTTTTACGAGACAGGGTTTCTTGGTGTAACAGCTCTGGCTGGCATCGATGGGAGGCAGAGATTCACCTGCACCTGCCTCCCAAGTGCTGGGATTAAAAGCATGTGCTACCAACGTGGCCAAAACGCACTTTTTCAAAATTTTCAAAAAAAATACTTGGTTTTAAGTAGTAAAACTTGAGACTGTTGTGTTGTTTTTACTATAACTTAAAAGGATTAGCATAAATGCTATTAAAACTTGTTCCAAATGATATTTTGTTCTTAAGACTTTGAAATGGAAGCTAGGTATGAATCCCTGCATTTGGAGACAGAGGCAGGTGAATTTTGTGTAGGTCAGCCTGGCAGCCAGATCTCTGTGAGTTGGAGATCAGGCTGGTCTACCAGAGCTAGTTACAGGACAGGTTCCAACATCAGTAAACCCTGTCTCAAAAAACAAACAAACAAAGATGGGGTTTTGTTGTAGTTTTAGAGACCTCCTGCCTCAACCTCCCCAGTGCTGGCATTAAAGGAAAGCACCATCAGCGCCGCCCAGCCAGAGAAACTGTCTTAAACACACATACATATATGCATGTATAAACGCATGCATACATACAAGGCTGAAATCAGAGCAACAGTTCATAAGGTTTTTAACATCATCAAAATTATCACGTAAGTTTAAAAGATGGGGTTTCTGGTTGTTTACAAAACATTACAACAAATTTAGAAGGAGAAAAAAGGCCAATAGTTACCTCACAGGGCTCTTGTCTTTTCTGAATGGACTTTTGCTTCGGGAACGTCTTCTGCTGCAAGGTTAAAAAGTTTCACAAGTTACCCAAACAAGTAATATCTATTAGTTCCTTAAAAAACAATTTAAGCAATTCAGAAGTATGTTTAAAAACCTTAATTTGATGCTATGAGGCAACCCAATCTTTCCTCGGATGGCACTGTTAAATTTTGGTCCGGAGCTAAAAAGAAAACACAAAATTACACTAGTTACAGGTTTAGGGTCTTGCTATGATCAAGTTTATGGGCTCTCCAGCAAGTCTAACAATGATTAGGCAGCGTCTTTTCTACCTCAATTATAAAGAGGAAACAATTAGAAAAATCTGTAACTTTATCCCAGACCTGTAGCCCTTATATATATTTATCCTGGACCAGTTAGAGGTGCCAAGAACATAAGTTACAGCCTCAAAAATTTTTCATTCGAAAAAATTCATCACATCTACTTTTAGTTTTTGAACTATATAATCATGAATACAAGATTGAGTCTTTAAAATATAGAAATAAGAGTAAAAAACGCCTCTGAACTCTCATTGTAGCATCCGTTTACTATGCAGTTCTTTAAAAAAAAAAATACACACTATGTAGAGAATCACTCCTGCTCCTCCTGGCTCAACTTCTGGTAATGATCAGATTAGTGTTGAATTACTGAGCCATTGTAGCCATAAAAGAATTGTTTTGTTTTTGTTTTTTGAGACAGGGTTTCTGTGTTAATAGTCCTGGCTTGGCTGGACCTCGCTGGCCTCAAACTCACTGAGGTCAGCCTGTCTCTTCCTCCCAACTGCCGGATTAAAGGCATGTGCGCCACTACCACCCAGCTCATGTAAATCATTCTTAAAGAGATTATCAGCACATTCAATGTACTACATTCTTTTTATTCTAAAAAATAATTAAGATATAGATATTCTTTTTATTTAATTTTTACTTTCCTGGAGCTCATTCTATACTCCAGACTGGCCTCAAACTTAATAGAAATTTTGAGAATTGTACTTATTCAAAGACAACTAAAAGTACCAAAACATATCTGCCTCTCTTAACCTGATACTAATATTGTAAAACACTGTAATGAGAGGATCTCTTAGAAAGTCATTGAAATGACAATTTTTTTATATCTTTATAAAGGTAGAGATTACTCAAGGGTTCATAAGGTAGGCACATGTTCCTTAGTGTGCAATTACAATCCTCAAAGGAATATCACAGGTTGGGTAAAATAAAGAAATGAAAGGGCCTGTCATCAATACTTGGATAGTTTTAATAAAAACTGTCAACCTATAACTAAGCAGTTTCGTGTAAAATTGATCTGGCTCTTCTAAACTTAAAAAAAATTTCTTTTAAAAATAGGGTACATACTTGGCTTTGAGCGTCCTCCTCTGCCTCACTAAACCCTAATAGTAAGACAGTTACTGGAATGACTAATGATCATTTAAGTATATAAATTTAATTTTTATAATTTATTTTTATCTCATGTTCATTAGTGTTCTGTCTGGTAGTATATTCTTTTGACTGTGTCAGATCGTGGAGTTACAGAGTGGTGAGCTGCCATATGGTGCTGGGAATCGAACCCATTTCCTGGAAGAATAGTCAGTGTTTTTATCCACTCCACCATCTCTCCAGCCCCATAAAAACTATAATTTAACAAGCTATTTTCTCTCTTCTACTATAACTAATACAAAAAAGTATTTTGTACTTGGGGTATCACTATGCACTCTTGGCTGGCCTAGAAATGCAGTATGTAAACCATGTTGGCCTCGAATTCACAAAAATCTGCTTCTGTACATCCTGACTAGGTTTCTCCCTTAGTTATAAATAAAATAGTCCAGTTATAGATTCAACAGTTCAACTGGAACCCAACACAAGAGAAGTTTAAATAGTCAGACCAGGGTAGTGTCAGGCACAGACACAGACCACATCCACCCACTCATACTCTACAACAGTATTCTACTTTTTAAAGGTAGCTGGTCCCATTTAGTTCATCCTCATAAGACAATTAACAATCTTACTTAAAGGATGTGGAGTAAATCATGAGAAAATAACAGTAATATTTCTGATCTATTATCCATAATTAAAATAACACCATAGCTCCATTATCACCATGCAACGTCTATAAAATAACTAGGAGGAATCTAGAAACATGGGAAGCATCCACAGAAACACACACTATATTCATAAATGAAAGTCAGAACCTAAACTACTCAAAGATCTTAAAAGTTAATACCAATATCTCACAAAATTCAGTATTCTGAATATGTTGTTGACAACTATGACTAGTTTATGGCCAAGTTTATTTCTTAACAAAAGCTTAGGGACTGACCTACTTAAATTTTTAAAATTAAATGTTTTGGTTAAGGGCAATACTGCTTTCATAGAGGTCCTGAGTTCAGTTTCCAGCCATCAGGAAGCTCACAAATACCTCTAACTCCAGCTTCAGATGTGGGGTGGTTCAATGTTTGTGGCCTACACTGACACTTAAACTCACTTGCATTTGGCACCTTATACAAGCATAAATACTTAAAAGTAGTTTACAAAGGTGTGCTTAGAGAAAACTTTAAGACTTAGGTAACTATTAAGGAAGGACTGTAATTGTTTCAATTTTGCTTATAAATGAAATCTCCCCCAAATATATGTGAATTTCATCCTTATGTGCATTGGTGCTTTTCCTGCCAGTTACCTTGTTATTTTTGGTCTTTTTTATGATTTTCCTTCCCCAACCCTGTGAAGGTGAGAACCAAACCCAAGGCCTTGTGCTTAGTGCTCTACCACTGAGCTAAATCCTCAACCCTGGTGCTTTGCCTGCAGTTATGTCTATGTGAGGGTGTCACAAGCCCTAGAACTGGTGGAGCTGTAAACCGCCATGTGGCTGTGTGCTGGGAATTGAATCTGGGTCCTCTGGAAGAGCAATCATTGCTCTTAACTAGCTAGTCATCTCTTTTTGCCCAAGGTGAATTTTTAACAGTTATAATGAAATTATTTTAAATTTTCTTAAACAAGGCATACAAATTTCTGTAACTTAGTCTACAAAGCTTATATACAAATAATAATTAACAGTAATGAGCCTAAAAATTGAGAATACAAATTGATGAAGGATTTTAGCTTCCCACAGTCACAATTTTCTTCATTAACCGTATTTTGATACATATTTTGTGTTCTAAAAGCTCACACACTTTAGGTTTTCCTCTACCACGCACTCAAATGCTTTCTTTTAATTTGGACTGGCAAGCAAATTATTGCTAGTTGGTCAGAAAGAATTGGTAAGTTTTGAAGTTTACAATCAGTCCCCATATTGTATTTTTCCTTACTAATCTTCAATGTCAATATCCTTCATTTTAAATGTTACTGAAAAACAGAATCTTACAATTCGTATTCTTCCAGTTAACTTGCTATCTAACCAGAGGTAACAAAAGTCTTAATTACAGTTACATACTAGGGACTTCTGTAGCGGCCTCGGAATCTTCTATCTCGACTTCGTGAGCGGCTTCGTCTCCTTTCTTTGCTTCTACTTCGTTTACGTTCCCGGCTTTTGCTCTTTTTCCTTTCTCTATCTCTACTTCGCTTCCGTTCCTTACTTTTGCTTCTCTTTCGCTCATGACTACGACTTCGGCTCTTGCTTTTTTTTCTCCTGAGGGGGGGGAAAAGTACCATTATCATGCTGATTTAAATACTAATATATACATCCTTTAATGGTCAAAATGTTTATCCTTTTGTAAATGTATTTTTACCACACTGTACGATGGCACAAAAATCATACTTTAGGAAAAACAATTCCTAGGTATGGGACATAAGACCCCAACCTTTGCTTCATGTTAAATGAAGACAGCCATAGAATCGAGAACCAGGTTTAAGAGGAAGAATTTGCAATCATCTCCTGAGGCAGCTACAGCTTGAAACAAGAGACAGGACTTGCTGGTAAGAAAACCAAGCCTGAACTTCAGAAACGATTGATATGTCATTCCTATAACAAACCACCAAGCATATCTGTAAGTTATAGTAATAAAAGTTACAGTATGTTCACATTTAAGAAATAGTGAATGTCATGCAAAATTTTCCATACAACAATTTAGTTCAAGTCAACATACACAATGTACATGTAAGCATATTTTGAACTTACAAAACATATACATAGCATTTTAGTTTTCATGGGCAAAACTACGATGACAAAGGATACTAAGAATGCAATAAAACTCACTTAGAACCCCAGAGTACTGTGACAACAGTAGCTTTCTACTTAAAACTATAATGAAAATGGAAAATGCCCTTTTTTAAGCTAGTTTCTACAAGCCTGTGGGACGAAAATTAAAACAACGTGACCTTCCTTGGAAAGTAAAAGTTCATGAGTTATCTTTCAACTCATTTCAGTGTTCCTCATATTACTTCACACACTGGTTTAATAATTAAACCTTGAAATCTGTATCTCTGTCATCACCCAAATTAGAGGTGCCTTCAGATATTTCAATATAAATGAGACATTTTGAAATAATATAATTTTAAGTGGTTTGAAGTCTGAACATTTTGACAACTCTACATGATTAGGAAAATTAATGAGCTATTGAATCTGTATCAAAGCAAAGTTAGCAGAAGAACAACTGAGGTATGCCTCAGAGAACCTGTAAGCGGGTCATCTTAGAGTGCATTGAAAATAGAAAATGAAGACACCCACCTTCTGGAATCTTGAAACCCACACTCCAATCACAAGGAGATGTAGAGCTTTCCAAGGAGGCAGAAACTTTGTCTAAAATTTCAAGATAATCCACCTGACTGTCAGAAATATGCTAGGTAGCACATGACAGAAAATTAGGCTACACTCATTATTTATATAGAAGTCAAACCAACTCCAATGCTCAGAAGGGCAACAATTAACATTCCAACTTTGATGTTTCAATTCTGACACTATTTCTTATGAGTAGAGAATTCTGGAATGGCTAAAACCTAAGTCCTACCTATAGGGGACAAAGTAAAAATTCAATTCCCCTGAAAAAACAAAAGGACAGTAAGTTTTTGCTCTGACAGACCACAGCAGAGTCAATCTGCCTATTCACCTCTCATATGCCCCCAATCTTATTCTGCCAAAGGAGCTTAAAATATAAATACATAAATCAGCGAGCTAATTTTAACTCAATGTCTTGCTAATCCCCAACCACATCTGAAGGCAACCCCAGATAGGCAAATAGAAAACATACTAAGATAGCAGAAAATACCATCTTCTATATAAAAGCACAGACAAAAGACTAGTATTACAAGAAACCAAGATACTTCTATAGAGCATTTATCAACTAAAGAAATGGTTATAAAAATCCATCCTAATAGTCAAATCCTGTTACAACTTAAATGAGACTTTCCCAAGTCTTTAGTGGCAGTGGAAATTGTACTGAACATCATTGAAGTAAATGGTCCACTGGGCCTTTGGACTTTTTGGTTATATGGCCTCTGCTGTAAAGGTGTTTTGCTATAACTGGATTTGACCTCTTCCATGTAAGAAGATCTAAATTTTAAATGCAAAGTATTCTGGAAAATAAGAAAAAAAATAGAAAAGTCATTTATTCCAAAATTTGATAATCCACACCACAGTAGCCAATATATTTTAACTGTGCCATTTTGTTATTATCCCTTTCTAAATGATTCTTTAAAAATGTTAACAAAATGAAGTTTAAGACTGCAAAACTGGTTATAGCAAAAAATACTTCTATGAGGAGCAACCTCAAGTACCTAAAGAATTTACTGGAGACCTTGACAAACTCGGTGTTATATTCTTCAGAAAATAGGCAAACCGTTTGTTATTTCCAACTTTTATCCCTTCACTACTGGAATATGATACAGTGAGTGTTACAAGTCAGCTACAATTGTTTAAACAGAAGTTTATATACTTAGCTAACTTTGTCAGAATGTGCAGTTTCTTATTCTACATTATCAGCATCAGTTATCTCCAATTCAATAAGGTTTTAGCATGAAACATACAAAAATGACATCTACCTTAGGTTAACACAAATTATCTTAAAATGAGTAAATATTTGTTTTGCATTTCACCCAGTGTTAAGTTTTCTTCTACATTATGTTCAATTAGTTTAAATGGCACATTCCTTCAAATCACCATATAAAAACTTTGTGACTAAATTAGGCAATCGCCTAATTTAATTCAACTGTAACTAAAGAAGCCTTGAAAAATCTGAAGATATTACTAATTGAAATGTTTAGGAAAGTCTTTAAAACATTGTTATGTTAAATTGTCCAACTGACTGTACATACAACAGATAAAAAACAACAAAAACCCATTATCTCTTATAGAGGGCATAATGCTTAAATTCCTCATAAAAGCTTGGTGATCTTAATGAGTTTAGTTACAGGATTAAAAGAGTACAATCTGAAGACATTAGTGGGAGGAAGTGACAATAAAGAACAGTGAAAAGATTTGCATTCAAGCTTATCATCATCCTTTGCACAATTACAATAAAAATCTTTACTAAGTCCCTAAGCCTGACATCTAAAGTGATTTTTGGAAACTGGTAGAGTCCTGTTCCAGTATTTTCTTTTCAACATTAAAATTATAAAACCAAGACTTTAGGGAATTGTTTCTTTCGCAAAGGTTAAAAATGCATGCAATGAGCCCTGTCAACTTGCTCTCTATATTCACTTTTGACTAGAAGGGAAACATTACTGAGTCCACCTAATCTTGTACAAGAAAAAAAGATTTCCACAAATTAGACCTGTTTTCCCTTAGCATTAATTTATTTTTGCATTTTCTACAGGGTCTCACTATGAAATCCAGGCTGGCACTGAATTTATGATCAGCCAGGCTCACCTTAAAGAGGGACTTGTAAGCCAGAATCATCACACCCAACCAACATATTAAAATCAATCCCTTAATACCATACTAAGATTATAAAACTTTGGCTTAGCAAAACCTAAGTGATCCACACTGAACCATCTTCTCATCTATTTTATGAAATTATATCAACCTACCCTAACAAAGTTGTAAGGATGATTGTGGTAGATATTATGAAGCACTCTGAGCTCACAGGAGGAAAATAGCCAGAGAGTCAATAAGTGGCTATTTTACCATCATTTTCATTATGTATTATGGGTTATGATATAACAAAATATTTTAGTATGGCATCATAAACATGGCTAGAACAACTTAATGTACATAACATGACCATATGATAATAAGAATCACTAATCTTGGAGCTAAATGGTAATTTTCACAACAGCTGACAAGCTCCAACCTTATAAATTGGATCCTGTTTAAACTGTTAATATATCTTTTTATGTACTATATTCTGTGCTGTCTGTAGTATAAAGTTTATTTCAGGTTACTCACCTAACCCAAATAAACTACATATTCTTAACGATCTCCTTAGATACACTAGAGATAAAAAGGCCCAAAACAATGAAGAAAAAAAATCTTAAGAATTACTAAGTATGCCCCTTTATTACTACCAAAAGGGCCTTTAAGCAGCAAGGAGCAGAAATAGTTCATAGCCAATTCCTTTAGTGAATGAAGGTAAACAGTATTTTCCATGGTCTTGGTATTATCTTTGTTCTAATGTAACTCTTTTATTCAATGATTATCACATCTCCAAAAATTAAGCCAAAGTTACCAAATTTAAAACATTATAAAACAAGAGAATCATGGGATCCTTGGAGGGCAAAGTGTCCAGAAGGTCTCTGAAACCATATCCTGAAGTCTACATCGCAAAGTCCATAGTTTTATGTCCTGAAGGACTTTCTCGTCCCAAAAAGTATGACCAGTACTCTAAGCGAAGAAAACCATAGTTTGATGCTTTAGGCAAAAGAACACAAGATTTCCACCACATGAAGTTTAGAAACCCACCCTCCCAGGTTCCTTGTTCAAACTTACTTTTTGCTACGTTCTTCATGGCCGTTAGCACTGCTCAACTTGTTCTCATCCTAAGCAAGGTTGATAGAAGAACATCATGAGGACGAAGTGGTAACATTTCAAGTTGTCAAAGGGTAAAGGGAATAGGAATAAGAAAATACAAGACAATTTTAAAACTAATTACTTATTTAGTTTAACATGGAAGGCTATAAAAAAAATTTAGATGGTATACGTTTAACCACTTTGTTGCTAATAATTAAGTCATCAAGAAACAAAAATTAAAATCTTTCACATTAACATGTTATATTTTACTTTCTTACATTGTTTAGATATTAAATAAGTTATCCAGAGTTACAATGTTGAAGTGGTTAAATATGATTTCTATGAAACATGAAGTCATTGAGCTTTATTCCGTGTGCTATTGTCCCTTTTGTCGGTACCATGGCTCTATTTCTGCCTAAGCCCCAAGTGGCCATGCTAGCAGCCAGCCACTATCGATTTCCTGTGACCGATGCCATTCCTGAGATCTTCGCCCATTTCCGTTGGAGGGTTGGGACTGTAAGAGCTTGATGCCACCTCTGTCACACATCTCGCCCTGAAGCAAACAGGGATTCACACTGCTTTAGTAATGTTGACTCCCAAGAACCCAAGAAAAGTTAATTAATAATTCACCAGTCCAGCCTAAACATTTCCTACTTCCATACCTGTTTACATGGAATTACATCCATGTTAAACTAAGACAAGAAACATTAAAATCAGAAAATACATCTTCAAGAGTCTAGCATTACAAAATTACACTATTTAAATTAAAACTATCAGAATTCATCCAAAAGGAACCACATGGTCGTGCTACACTCGAAAACAAATGTATTATTTTTAAACGGTTTATGCGCAATGTTTATTTCAAAGTTTGAACACATCAGCTATAGTAGTATATCTGCTGAGTTACAAAGCTTAAGGTTTGTGATACCAGTGATAATGCATGCATACTGCTATTTTCACCACCAACTGGTGAAAGAATGAAGGGCGTTTACTTTTACTGTGATACTGAAACGGGTCATATTGCACTACTAACCAAAATAATTCCTTGGTAGTTTTTAGTGTGAAATACTATGGTAGGGCCTAATTAAAAACAAAATACTATGGAGAACAGTAAAACAGTCATCAAGTGACTCTAATATGTGACACTGCCTCTTGCCTTTTGCTGTTTGTTTTTGTTTTTGTGCTAATTTCTATTCAGGGATCCAAGAATTTTAGTAATTATTAACGAAAAGCAGATCAACACCTGCCTGGTTTTAAGTTTTACTATCACCAGCCTTATATCTATTATTATAAAATAAATTTTTAATCTCACCCATTTCTTGTTTAAAGACTTATAAGATGATTTACTTGTCATGGACTGGTTATAATTTATTCTTGGACCCCTGCTATTTTCCCAAACCACTACATTCACCTTTTTTGCTATACCAAACTGGAGCTGGTAATTCTTAGTTGAGTCATTTTACCTAGGGGACCACGGTACAGCGATAAGTCACTCAATTACTACCTTATGATTGACAGTTCACACTGGAATCAAAGGTGAATTCATGGGAGTAGAGGTGAGATATCGTTAGGCAAGTCTACAAAGAGAGATAGATGGGCATTTATTCATCACGCTGAAGTGAAACTACTGCACAATATTATTACATCAATAGCATATATTTACTTTTGTAAGTTACATGTAATGCATCTCTGATAAGATAATCAAGAGGGCTCCGGGAAGGTTAGTTTACATTTCAGCAGTAGTTTCGTGAATAATGCTAAATTAAGAAATATATTAAAGCTTAATGGCATGTTTTTCTCACCTTCTTGTAAGGGGCCTCAAGCATTGCTTCAATATCAATATCGTCTGCCATTTTCTCTACACGCCTAGGGAAGAACAAGACAGTCCTGTAAGTAAACAACTTCCAGTTCTTAAAAAAAATTTCCTCGGCCTACAAAATTCAAATTTTAAGGAAAGTCCTTAAAAAGCCCTACAATAACTAAAATAGTGCGATATGCATTAACACAGTTTTGATTCGGCTGAACAAGCGTGAAACGCTTCTTACATCAAGCACACGACCAGAACCCAATGTCTGATCTCAAAAAGCCGCCTATGAACTCCCGAAACCGAACCCGAGAGTATGAGCTTGACTGAGAGCTTCCTTCCGCACAAAACCCGCGCTGCCATTTTAGCGGCAGAGGGAAACTCCCTCTGTTGGGAGGGGTTGTGTACCAAGGTAGCATTCGACAGGCGCCATGTTGGGAGGTCGCGACCAGCCCCGGCCTCGAAAGGACAGATCTTTATCTGCCCGAGGTCCCCAAGGAGGGCCTTGCCACCACCAAAATAGCCACGGTGCGCTTGCCAGAAATGGAAGGCACAGCTACGGATCTGAGACCGACCTTGTCGAGAAGCCCCCCACCCCCGCGCGCGGCTCAAAGCCACCGCAAGCTGCCCTCGGTACCTCGGCCCACTCGACCCCGGGAGGACCACGGCAGTCCGCCACGCCGCGTACCTGTGCGGGCTTTCGCGCGCCTGTGCTCGGCTCGGGAAGTCAGCCGCCGCCGCCGCCGCCGCCGCCGCCGGTGCTACTGTTAAGCCCCTAGGCCCAGGCCGCGGTACCGCCCAACCCGAATATCGGGCCCCGAGGGCGTCTAGGCCCAAGCGAATCTAAAAGAAACAATGGGATTAAAGGAGCCCGCGCGGGAGAGCAGGGCAGCGGCTTTGGCAGCTCAGGATCCACCCCTGCGACAGCGTCTGCTCGCTCCCTGAAATGGCGGCCGCTGCTCCTCCGTACTCATTCACCAACACACATACACACACACAAACACCCGGGGTCTCCCGGAGCCTCAGCACGGGCTCTCGCGAGAAACTGCCCAGCGTTCCAGAGTGGAAAAAACGAAATATCGCGAGATCTCAGGACGGCTTCGGCGACCGTAGCCCAATCTCGTGCAATGATTGCGCCACAGAGGAGCCCATCCCCCTTTCCCCTCCTCCCCCACAAGAGGTGCATCTAAATCTCGCGATGCTACGCCGTCTCTAGGGCAAAGACAGTTGGTGCACTGTCTGTCAATTTTTAGAAGAATGCTTTGCTGAGTGGAGCTTTGCGGTCTACCCCGGCTGGCGTTGTCTCCTCGCGGGGTGTGAACGTCCCCTCCTCCAACCCCTCACAATCGACCTCCCCCTACACCCGCCTCCCACCCAGATGGCTGTCAAGGTCGCCATAAGGCAACCTCTTTTATAGTACATAAGGGTAAAACGTTAGTTTCCTAATTCACTGATGGTGAAAACGCATGCAGACGAGAATAAGCAGGGGAAGTGGGAGAAGAATAAAAAGTACGATTGCCTTTTCTTTTCATTCGGTGTCACTGTTTAGATGCTTCCTCGATGGTGAAGCTTCGGAACACCCTCAGAAACTGAAGGTGGGCGAGGTTATAGAAGAAACTATTTCCCTCACCACTGTGTTGCTCTTTACTCCCTGCGTGTAGTCAAGCCATGTGTCACTATTTGCTTGTTACTTTAAAAGTATTCCTTCTTTTCCTTAGAATTTTGGCTATCCACGTGTTAATTTATTGCTTTTGTTGTTTATTAGGCTTTTATTTTGTTTGGGTTTTTTCCGATTTGGGGGTGGGGTGGGGTGGGTGATACTGTCGCAGAGGAAAAACTGCGAGGTCATTGTAAGATTTTTTTTTCCCTTTCATAGAAAAGAAAATGTTTAAAATAAAATTAAGTATCAAACCAGTCCTGAAACCTACCGACAGTTTGAGGATATAAAAGATTCAAAATGTGACACCTTGATTGGTGTAGTTGACCTTGGGCAAGTAAATTCAGCTCTCAGAGTATATATCCCATTTCCTCCTCATAAGGAAGGAGAACATAATTAGTAGCAAGGGGAAGCATGACAGTGATCAAGGCTGCAAATGTTTATATTTGAATTCCAGGTTTAGCGGGGAATGTCTATCCAGGTGATCTCTCCATGAAATGAATGAAGGCTCAGTGGGATGAAGAATAAATGATATGATGATTGAAATGCTAGAAAAACATTTTAATCATTGAAAACTTCTAGGAGGGTACTGGAGAGATGGCTCAGAGGTTAAGAGCACTGGCACTTCCAGAGGTCCTGAGTTCAATTCTCAGTAATCAAGGGTGGCTCACAACCATCTATAATGAGATCTGGTGCCGTCTTCTAGCTTGCAGGCAGAACACTGTATACATAGTGGAAAGAAAAGAAAAGAAAACTTCTCGGGGCTGGCAATGTAGCTCAGTTGTCATATTGCTTGCCTAGCATGCCTGATGGAGCATGTCTATAATTCCAGCACTTGAGAAAACAGAGACAAATCAGGCGATGGTGGTGCCTGCCTTTAATCCCAGCACTTGAGAAGCAGAGGCTGGCAGATCTCTGTGAGTTTGAAGCCAGCCTGGTCTACAAGAGCTAGTTCCAGGATAGTCAGAGTTGTTAAACAGAGAAACCATGTCTTGAAAAAAGAAAAGAAAACAGAGGCAGGGGGATCTTTGTGAGCAAGAGGTCAGCCTAGTCTATATTGGGAGATCCAGGCCAGTCAGAGTTGCATAGTAAGGCCCTATCTCAAACAAGACCTAGAGGACATGTAACCATAAAGAGGCCCAGCACTTGGGAGGCAGAGGCAGGAGAATATCTGTGAGTTCGGAGCCAGCCTGGTCTACAGAGCAAGCTCCACAACAGTCAGGACTACACAGAGAAACCTTATCTTAAAGAGAGAGAGGGGGAGAGAGAGGCTTTCTCTCTCAGATATGGTAGAATACTGAGATTCCCATAGCTCCTACTGAAAGACTACACTTCCCAGCTTCCTACCCTATAAAGGTCCCTAATCCCATCTTCCTCTGTAGGCATTTTGACCATAGGGTGGGGGAGACAGAAATGGCCCCTCATATTGTGTAAACGTGGTCATGGCCTCGTCTTAGGTCAGTCTGTCTCTTTACAGCTTCCCTTAATTAACAATCCTGTCCTGGGCTGACAGTCAAGGCCAACTGTGACACTTAGTGAAAGCCTATGAAAAGGATAAACGATGCTGGAGAGAAAGCAGTTAAGGGCACTGACAACGACACAGCTACAGGGCAGGGTGACCTGATGCCCTCTCCTGACCTCCACAAGCATCACACACGCATTTGGTACACAAACTACACACAAGCAAAGCACATGTACATTAAGCATAAAAATACAATGATTTGTTCTTTAAAAGTTGAGGCTGGGATGGAGTGGTTAGAAAATTCCAGAAACTCAGCATACCAGTGGGAGTGGCAGGAAGATTAAGACTTCCAGGTGTCTGGTCAGTGGTGGAGGGCATCATTGACCCCAGCACTCCACTCTGGAGGTAGAGGCAGATGTAGAGGAGTTAGAGGCCAGCATGATCTACAGGGTGAGGTCGAAGACAGCCAGGGCTACACAGAGAAACACAGACTCAAAAGAAACAAAGAAGTCAGAGTTCCAGGTGGCTGGGCTATAGGGATATACACACGTAATTGCAGATTTGGGGTTTGAAAGCAGGAGGATAAGCAATTCCATGACAACCTCAGACGCTTGGTAAGTACACGGCCAGTTAGTATTACATGAAGAATACCCTCTCTAAAAACATAACAGGCATTTTGGTCCTGCCAAAAGGCTTCGTTCTACAATAAAGGACAGTTAAAGGATGCTTGGCCATGCCTGTAATCCCTGCCCTTAGGAGGCAGAAGCAAGAAGACCACCACAAGTTCAAGACTGACTTGCTCTACATAGCAGGATTCGGTATCCCCCCCTTCCCAAAAGAAGCACAGTTAAAATTTGTCTTTTAGAGATTAACAGATATTCACAATTGTAGGCCCATATTTTTACATGGTGTGACAGCCAGGCTCTCAGGCCATAGTTAGTATCTGGAGCAGTCACATACCCTTCCAAACAGGCTGCGGCTACCCTAACAAAAAGCTCATATGTTGCTCCTTGCTTTGTAATTATGTAGATCACCTGAGAAGAGGTGTCAATTCCAAGCTAGTGACAGAGCTACAGACATGACTTTAGTCCTGCTACCTGGAAAATAGAATGTTAATGAACTTCCACCTCAGCTTACCTTGGGGGATAAAAGGTGTTTGGATAATAAATGCGGGTAATCTTCAGGATTTGAATGAACCCTGAGACTTCCTTCTGATACTGCTGTGTGAACTGTGTCTCAATTATTCCCGTGCCTCCAAGCCTGTCCAGAAAGGGGAAAATCATTTATGTTGGGGTTTTGGACCCCAACACACAATAAGTAGTAATATTCCTTTAATCCTTTTCCTGAAATTCTATATTCTTCCATTTTATGTGTGTCACTTTGGAAAGAACACATAGCTTTACCAGTGCTAGGCATGATTTTGCCACTGCTGTAACCCCCCAACCTCATTCTCTTTATTTTACTTAGGGTCCCACATGCTAGGAATGCTCTACTACTAAATGTATGTCACCAGGCTCTCTTTTAACTTTACATTTTATATACTTTTTAAAAAGTGTATTTGCCACCTGGTGGTGG